GGAGGGAGGGAGGGAGGGAGGGAGGGAGGGGGAGAGAGAGAGAGAGAGAGAGAGAGAGAGAGAGAGAGAGAGAGAACAACTTTAAAAGGGGATTTTAAAAAGGGATGGCAGTAGTGGTGGCGCACACCTTTAATCCCAGAACCCAGGAGGCAGAGGCAGGTGGATCTCTGTGAGTTCAAGGCCAGCTTAGTCTACAGAGTGAGTTCCAGGACAGGCAGAGCTACACAGACAAATCCTGTCTCGAAAAAAAAAGGGGGGGTGGGGGTTGGCAGTGGTGAGGTACCAGGTACGGAACACAGAAAACACCTGTCAGGGAGCAACAGCCACCCATAACTTCCCTGTTCCAGAACTGGGTGTCAGACCGTGAAAAAGGTCCCAATCAGCTGCGGAGGATGCCGTCAAAGTGGGGAGTGATTTCTTCATATTTAGGAAGCAGTGAATATGATTTGAAGCCAGTTTTGTTTTGGAGTCCCTGTCTTCGCTGTGCCCTGGGAGAAATTCCTTCCTCTCCGAAGTGATAAAGGTCCCGGTTTCTACGAGTCCGTGTCTCTATCTCTACTGAAGTGGAGTGGAGAGCGTCCCAGTTCGGTAACTTTTTAATTCAATGTTTCCTGATCTTCAGTAATCTCGTCCAGCCCCACGCCCCACACAAAGATGGCAGATCCGCCGTCACTCGGAGCTAGGAACCGGATCCGAAGTCATGGCTCCGTGGCAGCGCGTCCCGCTAGTGCTGACGCGGATTGGCGTCCTGCGCTTGCGCGAAGAGAGGCCCGGAGCGCGGCGCGTGCGCACTGCACGTCTGCGAGCCCCAGTCAGACAGCCGCGCGGGCGCAGATCGGAGACCTGTGGTGGTTTGAGTGGTGGCGAGCCCGCCGTGCTGAGCCGGGTCCTCGGTCTTCCCGGCGACGGCGGCACCGAGTTCGGCATCAGTCGAAGGGGTACGGCATGTCGTGGGTTCCGCGGGACTGACAGTGAACGCGCGTGCGGAATGGGCCGGCGCCGAGGTCTGGAGCTCTACCGGGCCCCGTTCCCGTTGTACGCGCTCCGGGTGGACCCCAAGACCGGGCTGCTCATCGCTGCGGGCGGAGGAGGCGCCGCCAAGACCGGCATAAAGAATGGCGTGGTGAGAACGCAAGGCTCCTGGGAACTGGTCATGCAGTGGCCGAGAGCGATTCCGGGGTGGCCGGGTTCGGGGGGCGGGGTCGGAATGCAGGGGTGGATTGTACCCCTGCGTTAGGCCGTACCGGTTTCTAGTAGGAAAACCCGGCGTAGACGCCTGGGTTCTGCTTTCACCTGAGAAGAGCGGTTGAGTCGTCCAAAAACAGACGGAAAGCTGTGCGGATCTGTGAAAGCTGGGCTGCCCACCCACGCAGGACCACGGGAGCTGGTCCAGGGCTCTTAGGCTGGCCTTTTCCAGGAAGGCACATTGTCTTGTCTGCCTTCAAGTAGCTCGAGCCTGGATTCCTTTCTTCCTGTAACTGGACCTAGTAATCTAAGCTCTGTTTGCTGTACACATTGGGGAGCTCCAGCAAGAAAATAAAGCAACAAACAAACAAACAAACAAAAATCCACGGTGAACTAGAGGTGTGGGAAGCAAAGGAATACAACTAAGACCAGGATTAAACGGCTAAGACTAGGACTGATGTGACTTCCGGGCTCGCCTGAACTTTGCCCACCTTGGTTCTCTCCCAGCACTTTCTGCAGCTCGAGCAAATCAATGGGTGCCTGAGCGCCTCCTTGCTGCACTCTCATGACACAGAGACACGGGCCACTATGAACTTGGCACTGGCTGGTGACATCCTTGCTGCCGGACAGGATGCCCGCTGTCAGCTCCTGCGTTTCCAGGTCCATCAAGTGAAGAGCAATAAAGCGGAGAAGTCAGGTGAGGAGCTTTGGAAAAATGCTTCTAATCTTGGTCTCTAAAGAGAGATTAGATGTGGGGTCATCATAGCGCTGAACACTCTCTGCCCTGTCAGTAAAGGACTGGTACTTAGTACAGAAGCCTGGATTGAGCTAGGTTGTGGTGCAGCCTCAGTACTTAGGAGTGGTATTTATTAAGCGGATATTTAAGGCTAGCCTGGGCTATATAGCAAGTCCCTGCCTTAAAAAAAAAGACAAAACAAAACAAAAACTCAAAGAAATCTGGATCCTGGCAAATGTTTGTGCTGCAGGCTCCAAGGAGCAGGGACCTCGACAAAGGAAGCGGGCAGCTCCAGCAGAGAAGAAATCAGGAGCGGAAGTTCAGCATGAAGGGGTTGAACTCAGAGTAAAGAATTTGGAGGCGGTACAAACAGACTTCAGCGCTGAACCACTGCAGAAAGTGGTACGCTTCAACCATGATAATACCTTGCTTGCCACCGGAGGGACTGATGGCCATGTTCGTGTCTGGAAGGTATGGCTCTAGGGGCTTAAAGGACATGAACTGTGAGAATTCAAACATGCATTCTGGGAAACTTGTGAGTGGCTGTTAGGACAAGAGAGATGGGGATCATAGTGCTCTTGCTGTGTCTAGTCTGAACCATGATACTGGCTTGGCTGTAGGTACCTAGTCTGGAGAAAGTTCTGGATTTCAAAGCACATGAAGGGGAGATTGGAGATTTGGCTCTGGGTCCTGATGGCAAGGTAAGGAGGTGAGAATGTGGGGTGCTGGTGCAGAAGAGGGGAGGCTCTTAGGCTGCTTGCCTAGTAAGTAGATGTCCTAACTATCCGTCTTTGGACTCTTTACTCCTGCCCAGTTGGTTACTGTGGGCTGGGACTTTAAGGCCTCCGTGTGGCAGAAGGATCAGCTAGTGGCACAGCTACAATGGCAAGAGAATGGATCCACCTCTTCTAACACACCATACCGCTACCAGGCCTGCAGGTGTGACGAGCTCGGGGTGGCTAACTGAGGCACACTTCAGCAGTATTGGGGAAGCAGAAAGAGACCAGGAGGGGCTGGGGATGACTGTAGCCTTGTTGGAGGTGGTTTCAGATGTCACCAGGGTACAGGAAGGCACAAACCTGAGGGCTAGCGGCAACTGAAAAGCCTTTTGCCCGACTTCCAGGTTTGGGAAGGTTCCAGATCAGCCTGGAGGGCTGCGACTCTTCACAGTACAGATCCCCCACAAGCGCCTGCGTCAACCTGCACCCTGCTACCTCACAGCCTGGGACAGTTCCACCTTCCTTCCGCTTCGGACCAGGCCCTGTGGCCATGAAGTCATTTCCTGCCTCAGTGTCAGGTATGAGAGCCTGCTGCTTAGCTGGAGAGGAGAGTGAGTCCTGACTCAGTCTCTCGAGGACCGCTGTCGGGGGAGAGGGTGTCTGCACACGCTTCCAGAACAACGAATGCTTTGTTGTATGTTACAGTGAATCGGGTACCTTCCTAGGCCTAGGCACGGTCACTGGCTCTGTCGCCATCTACATAGCTTTCTCTCTCCAGGTAATGGGTAGAGGTTGGCACAACCCTCTGGGAGGGCTACAGGCTTACTCTACCCTGAGTGTACAGGAAAGAGTCTGGCCCAGTTCATAGGGGAAGCCTGCTGGGGCTGTGGAACATGTTTCCCAAAAAGGAGCCTCCAATTATGCTTTCCTCGCTTGTTTTCTCCTTCTCCAGCGTCTGTACTATGTGAAGGAGGCCCATGGCATTGTGGTGACAGATGTCACCTTTCTACCTGAGAAGGGCTGTGGTCCACAGCTCCTTGGATCCCATGAAACTGCTCTTTTCTCCGTAGCTGTGGATAGCCGTTGCCAGCTGCACCTGCTGCCCTCACGGCGTGAGTGAATGTTCTGTTGTGTGTATCGGGGATACCGCTTCATCTTTAGCTATAGCAAAAATTGACCCCTGTTTTTTGTCCACCCCTCTCTCCTTGAATGAAGGGGGTTCAGGGTTCTGACCTTATGCTCTGAGGCTCCCTTGCTGACTCACTTCTTCCCTTGTCCCGCCCTCAGGGAGTGTTCCTGTATGGCTTCTGCTCCTGATGTGTGTGGGCCTTATTATTGTGACCATCCTGCTGCTCCAGAGTGCCTTTCCAGGTTTTCTTTAGCCTCCATGACCAATGGGAATCAGGCTTGGACACTGCCGCCTCCCAGAGCAGAGTCGTTGAGGTCCACAGCTGAGGCCACCTCTGCTGAGACTGATGGGTACTGCTTGTCCCTCAGCTAAAGCTTGCCTGTGGCCCCATTATCACTCTGGATCCTGGGAGCCCTGCATTCATCACCTGTGGATCCATTTAAGACAGTGTGGTCTGAAGCCCAGGGCACACTGCCTGCCTCATTCCCTCTGCCTCCCAGGGCTTCAAAGTTAGCTCTTCTTTCTCTCCAAATATGTGACAGTGACCAAGAGCCTGGAGGCATTGCCATCCGTCCTACAGAAACTGTTTCTCCTCCTCCCCTTACAGCCGTTACGCGAGGTCCTTGGCTTTTGTTGATAAAAAGTCTGGGCTAGCACTTGCTGTTAGGGCAGGAAGAGGCAAAGGAAGACTCAGGTAGCAGCGGTCTGTGGGCTCAGTTGCGTAGCAGCAAACCAGCCAGGCCACATGTACAGTAAGCTCCTGGATGGTCTACTCCGGCCTGAGGAAAGGGAAA